CGTCCACGGTTTTCATGCCAGAATGTAAATGAGTCAGCGAGAGTTTATTCGGATTAAGGCAGAATGAAGTGCTATAAGCACTTCGGAAGTTCGAGTTTCGGAAGTTAATTTTCAGAGCGTGTCTGCCTAGTCTAAGCCACGTTGTGTGTGAGTATTCGATACTTGCGTTAGCGGCGTTGCTGTGTTCTAGCCATTAGGCTTGTTTCGCCGGTTACTTTAGACCAGAGCTCTTCCTGCTCGTTAAAGTATACTGTGAGCCGTTAGGCTAACCTACACACCTTGAAATCACTATTTGTTACTTGTTTCTGTTAAGCCAGAAGTGTTGACTTCTTGTAACCCAAGAGTTGGATCATTTGTTAATTTTATAATTGAATAAAGGGTCTTCTGGTCTCTGTTTAGTTTCAAAATGTTAGAAAATAATTCCTCAAAAAACCTTTTTAAAAGTTAATGTTTCCTAAGAGGCATAGACTTTACAGAGTATTCATTAAAATATTAATCAGCCCTAAGGGTCACTCTCCGAAGTGACCACCTCAGAAAACCAAATCGGCTGAGATGAGTGGTTCCTCTTAGGAAATTTCATTACATTTTATTATTTTATTTTAGTAACTGGAAATATTTTTATATTTTCCATGACCATACTCCAAACAATGTGTGTTTGTTGCAGTTTTTCGGATTACAGTATTATGTCTGTGACTTTCTCACCTAATCCAGACTACAATTTATCTTCTCTTCAAAGTTAATCTGATGATCCGATTCCAGAGCACGTTCTGCAGCTTCCGCGGTCGGAAAAATAGAGTACGCCGTCATGGCTTTATAAACGTAAACCTTTCCCGTCCTGCAGTCTTTAAAAATGTATATTAATCCTTCCTGTCTCAGAGCTTCACTTTCTTACTCTCGTTTTCGCTTTTCTGCACAGAATAAAGATAGTTCCAGGGGAATAAAGCTAGAGCTTTAATACTTAAAATCATTTTATCCGACATCTTGAACACGTGGTGAATTTATTTTCATTTCAGTTTTTAGAGTGCATCGATCGGGAAATAATTATATAGAAGAGAGATTTCGTTTAGAGCACAGTTTGAGAATTTTTTCCAATTGGATGACTAGTTAATTCATTGAACCAAAATGCTCCAGAGCTATAATAGCCGCCAAATATCTTTGTAAAGAATTTTCGAAGGAAAATTTGCTCATATTTCAGAATCATATAGGAAAAAGCACTAGACATTTTATATAGCCAGAGCATTCAATCATCAAAACTCAAACATGGGTGAATTGCCAGTGCTCTTGGGTTTCAATAACTTCAGCACTACTAGTGGATCTGCTTTACATCAGAAAAGGGGTGTGTTATTTAAATAACGTAGAATAATACCTTATGTGAACTTTAAAAAATGTTTCATTGTAAGAAGATCTCTGTTGCTAATGGTATGCGTCAAAAACTATCTAAAAGTTACATTAGGATCTCGATAATTCATTAGTCCTCATTAGAGTAAAAGAATCTCTGTATATCATATCCTACTGCTATCATAAACATAGCTACGTGCGGTAGCCATCTTTAGATCATCTTCAGATATAAAGATCCATCTTTAGTATCAAGTATTTCTAAAAAAATCAAGATTAGATCTGAAAACTGATCACATTATAACTCCTTAGCTTGTTTAGTTTTTTTATGCATAGTAGAAATGCAATATCTGAAGTAAATGCAAAGTAGTCTCTTACAAAGCTCAATGATTATTAAATATCTTTTGTTCAAGAATGTGTTAAATTTTAATTGTGCTAAATTTTAATTAAAATAAAATGTGGCTGTGTATTTTTTAATTATGATAACAGCCGAAGAGTAAATAAAAATGCGATACAGGCAATGCGTACTACTAAGAGACTTACAAACTCTTCTGCGGTTTTTTTAATAAAGAATTTTCATAACGAAATTAATATTTCATATAGAATTTCATAAAGATAATTACAAAATTTAACCAGCAAATTTAAATGGACTTTTTTTGGTGCGTTTGTTTTTATTTCACAGAATGATGATATATCAAACAAAGGATAGTATCTTAGTCTTTTATTCCGAATACGGCACAAAATAAGACATGGCACAAAAAATGTATTTTATTCAAAAATGTAATCTATGTTTTAAATTACCCTTTTTAAATATTTTAACGGAGTCTTTTTGTTCATCATATTCTTCTCAGTGAGTGAAGGATAGTAGAACTGATGGTAAAAATATTGACAAATAATTGGGATAACTGAGTTTCGACGACACCACGATTTTCACGATCAGAAACTTTTGATTGTAGTATAACAGTTGATTTTCTTGATCAAACACTTTCTAGTATTTTGCGCCAATACCTTTCGTTAGCATATTCAGCACTTTTTAATGCAAATATAAGATTAAAATCTTTTTTAAATTGTAATTACTTTTTTGCATCAAAATTATTATTGCATTATGTACGTAATAATTAGTTATATCAATATGTACGGCTCGGGTTGCTAAATATATTTAAATGCAACCCCACACAGAATCTTAGACGTTTTTAGACAGCAATTTTTTAAAGTTCGGAAGTTAATTCGAATTTTCGGTTGCTCGAAATTATTTATTATTACCTTCAATTTCTACTTGACGAAGTTCAACTTTTCAGTAAAGATTGCCTTTAAGGAAAATGTAAAGAGACAAAATTCTTCGCAGTATGTAAAAACTATCGAGAATAAAATTAAACTGTAATTATCTCAAAAAGAAACTGCGATGGGGTCCACAAAGTAAATTGCATTTGATTATCGAAAATCAAAATTTTATTGATTGATGCACCACAAAGCAATATGACATAAATACAACGTATCAACTGGTATTTTTAAAAGATTGCTTAAACAGACAACTAAAAATGTGCGATTGTGCATGTTTCATGGTGCTTAGATGACAAATGGCATAAGTGCGTATGGTTAGTGTTATTTTACATTAATCAGTTATTCATAAATTTAGAGCTTTTATTATCACTTCTCCTTTCCGTTTTCAGGGAATATTTAAGTCGAGGCTTTGGAACTGTAAAATAGAACGTGTCTTTGCCTATCGAGACCACTTCATAAGGTTTAACCAGCTCTAATAAGACTGTAATTCTTCGGCTTTGTGTTATTTCTGTCGAAATTTAATTGTTACGCTGATGAGAAGTTCTAAGCCAGCTTAGTTTAAAATCAGTGTGTAATCTTTTATTACCAGGCTTCGTTTAACTTTTGCCTGTAACTTTAAGTTACATCGCCACAAGTGGTGGCTGCTTATGTAAGCAAAGACGTCCTTTTTATGTTCAAGTTCTGATTTAATAAAAACGTTATTTAGCCTTCTTAAGTCTCTGAAGTTAATTTCAGACCAAAGATAATTCTCTCTAAGTCTGTAGGAGTTTGGATACTAGTTAATGCTACCAAATTAAGTCAAACTCTATAAGTGTAACATAATGTTATGACAGTTATATAATATTCCTATATTTTTGGTATGAAGAAAATAAACTGAAAATACAGTCTTCAATTATACATATTAGCATTACGAGGAATTCTTTACCTAATAAAGTCAAATTATTATAAATAATAAATTCCTCTTTCATCAATAAATTACATTAATTAAAATTAACAAACAAAAAATTTAAAAACTTCGCCCATTTCAAAAGTTTATGCAAGTTAAGTTTATTTAAGTTAGGTAACGAGGTAACTCCAACTTACGTTAGTGAAGCGTATGAAATTTTTTATCCTCAGCCATTTCATGCGCTGTTATCAGCAATGGCTCCAACATCCTGGCAAGGGGTAAGTAAAAATTAACGTTAATTTAAAGGGAAATTCCACGCTATTGTCCACTCAGGCTTTGTCTACTCTAATAGACTGCGGTGAATTTTTATCTCAATTAGTGAGATTTCTGTATAGTTCTCTACATTATTCTTACGATTTGCCACAAACTGTAGCAAGTCACTCAGACGGTATAGTGGTTAGAAGAGCCCACTGCGGTACCGAAGTGCTTGAGTTCAAAACCCGGAGAAGGCATGAATATTTGTAAATGTATAGTGTTCATGTGACATGGGGGCATTCTAAATATGAGGTGAGCCGAAAGTCCCCTCGAGAGATTGGTAGTAGGGAAAGAGGGATGGGAAATCCTCGGACTCGTCCCCCTCCCGAGGTGCTGTCCATCAAAATTGGGGGCGGAAATGAGCAAAGTCGTACTGGCACCTGTATGCTACTTAAGGCTCTTGCTAACGATTGGCGCAATCTTGCAGTCCTTCCCACTATGAATTTCGTAGGCTTGTTCTGATGTTACTGTCAGACAAGTCATAATAAAAAACACAAACTATAACGTAAATACATTTTTGGTAATTTTGATTGAACTGTTTGTAACTTCATTTTTGTGTTCTGCTTGACTTGCAGTAATTGATGTATATAATTGATATTGATTGCCTTTCTTGCTGATCAGCGTCAGTATGCGCGGTCGTCTTAGAATAGCTGGAACTATTTGACTATGACTGGCACTATTAGACATTGCTTTTTTTCCATTAATCCTTTCGTAATTTCATGATGAATTTCGATAAAATTAATACGTTAAGGTGGTTACAGCAAGATCATCAGACCATAAAATATTTAAATTACAGCTTATAGGTACAAGTAGAAGTGGGCGGGAAACCAGAATTTCACCATTGGGTCGTACAGGTATGCAGTGTACCGCCGCACTGACTGTTCAGTTCTTCCCCAATTTTAAAGAAGAAGATTCAGGGAGGAGGAGAGAAAATATTACAGTTACAACATAACGTCCTCAAAAATTTGGAAAGCACTCCGCTAAAGACGTTTCTAACCTCGATAAAAATGCTAATGGATAAATTTTATTCAGAACACAAAAAGAAACATTAGAAGTTCTTTTTAACTCAGTAAAAATCTTTATTTGATGAAATAATAGAATTCTTTTAGCAAGTCAAGAAGAGTTATTTAGACTCAGGTTAGTAAAAAACGTAACAATAGCTCGTGTCCAGAGCAAGACTTACCATCACCGTCAGAAATCAAGGAGTCGTTCATGGAAAGCAAACACTTGTCCCGCCAGTCTTGCAACAGCGATAGCTGTCGCTCTTTGGAGGGCTGAACCGGTGAACTATTCTGGAAAGAAAAACAGATCAGCATTAGGCATACTTAAAGTCTACAAGTTAGCTTTTGTTTGTGTGAATGAGGGCGTCCTGCACGCACTCTTTACAGTAGAACCCAGGGAAGAATTTATAAGGTGACCCACAAGAATTTATAAGGGGACACTTCAAGTTTCCTATGAAGACTGATATTTAAAGTATCAAACGAAAATCATGTAACTTGTGTTGAGGTATGTAATATCTGTCATTAGAAACATCATTTATTAAATATGGTACTGCTCCGAATTTGCGAAAAAATTATTTGGCAACTTGAAAATACAGCTACTGTTACAGAATGCAACTACTTATTGGATATGCATAGTGAATTCTCTCGAGACAAACACTTCTGAAAATGTTCAGTATTTCTTGCATTCTAACTTTGAATTCGCAATTTTTCTCAAATATATATACGCTAACAGCGAGTTAGCGCTGTTTTGGTGATATAATTTAAATATTAATTATTAATTATGGTTTACGAGATATATTGAAGAAACATTTGCATTCTTCTCCATAGCTTTCTGTAATTTATTTTCGCTATTGTCCCCAAGTATATAGTGACCTGTTTTCTCTTAAAAGGCATCAGGTAAGTCACATAGTACATTAAATAAACACTTGTTTAGTATATTAAAAACCTAGTATATGCCACATAACATATTAAAAACGTATTAGCTCTGTTTTGAAGAGTTAATTTAATTATTAAATACCTATTATGTGACATATTAAAAAAGCACTTGTATTCTTCTCCATATCTTTTTTGTAATTTTGTTTCGCTAATGTTCCCAAGTACACAGCGATCTGTTTTTCCGAAACATTAAATTTTGTGAGATCTCCAAAACAGCACTGCACCGTCAAATATAGTTAAATTTGTATGTTTTCAGTTTCCTATTCCCACTGACTTAGCAATTAATTTTTTTTAATACCGTTTACTTCTAAATTAGAAAAAGCATTATTGTAATGATTTATCCCCAATAATTTCAGTAATTTATAGAAAACGTTTCCTCAGTATTTTTTTTACCAAAATAGCAATCCGTGCTTATGTGAACGTTAAAAGTTTGGGAAAAAAATACACGATACAGATTTAAGTTATTAAAAAGTTAGTTAAATCCTTTAATTTTTCAAGCAATTACAGATTGATTAAATATGAAAGATTTTAATGCTTGCCAGAGGAAATACTCTCAAAACTGGCTATGTGCAAAGACATGAGGATGATGAGTAAGGATTTTACGTTTCGCGTAATAACAATGTTTTCTACCTGATAAATACATTAAAGCGCAACCCAACATAACAGCCCACAAATTTTAAAATGGTTATTCTAAAATTTTTAATCACACACACAAAAAAAAAAAAAAAAAGCGCAGATACATTTCATTCCTGCTTCTTTTCTCGCTTAAGAGGTTTTAATCTTATGATACAGAGAATCGGCAGTTTTATGAAATTTTACTAATTTGCAATATTTAAAATACAGATGAGTGTAAACAAAATTTTATTTTAAAACTTTATTTATTTTGACCTAAGATGAAAATCTTTCAGATTTCAATCGATTGGCCAATGTCTTGAAGTCTTACGATCGAGCTATTGACATGTGTCGAGTTGCAAGAAATCCATACTCACGGAAACAAGAAATTTTCGGAAGTTTTCGATAGTTTTCAAGTATAACTGATGCAGTTTGGAACTATCATGTACTGGTTGCTTTGTTAATTGTTAACTCCGTGATAAATTAATCCATATGAATGCGTTTAATTGAGCTGTAACTAGCAATATCTGTTAATCATAGAAAATGGCCAGAATTTTTTAAGCAGTTTGTTATGGAGGTTCTCCGTAAATTGAGTTAAATCCGCTTAAATCAGGAACAGGCTAAATAAATGTCTTACAGATAATTTTAAAAAGCTGAGTGCTCTGTTTTAGTGTTTCTGGTAGTTCTTAAAGGTTTATAAACTACGATATTGTTTTCATTAACCAGCTTTATAAACTTTTGGTAGTTTATAGAGTCTCACTTTTTTTTGGTAGCATAAATTCATGAGCTCTAGAAAGATTATACAGGAATAAAACTCTTGTTTTAAACTGTAGACTGTCAAAGTCAGAAGAAGTATGTAAATAGTCCTTTTATTTGAACACAAAGAAATAACAGTAACCCACTTTGGGGTTTACATAAGCCAACGCTTCTGGCTTAAATTAAACAAGTAACGTTGAACTAAAATTAAATAAAAAGTTAGGTTAAGCCTAAAGACTCACAAAATAAAGTAATATGCAGAAAGGCTTTGGTTTGTAGAAAACCGATAATACAATCCCATTGGCTAGAAGCATTCAACGCCACAGAATCAAGGTGCTATTTAGTCTCGGCAACAATGCAACCTCAGGTAGGCAGAACACGTTCTAAAATTAACTTCACCTTCTCTTAAATAGTACTTCTTTCTCACTCAATCTGAATAAACCTTCGCCGTCTCATTTACATTCTAGCATGAAAAGTGTGGGTGTAAGGGAGAGCGACAGAAAAGTTACTTTAACTGAAAATTAACTATTATTCAAACACAAATAGAAAAATCCTCACAAGTTTACTTTACTTATGACAGATTATGGGAGAGCTTTCTGATTAATGTAATGATACTTTCGTGAAGGACATTTTTCAAGGCAACCGGCTGAAATTCACATTACACATAGAGAAAATCATAACTCTCATATACTATATATCTAGTTCATTTGCCAGGATGAGAAGTCTAGCTGAACTAACACGTGCTCGGCAGTTTTAACCACTCGGTCACTGGTGGGCTTCTTTGTAAGAGTTCCTTCTTAATGAACTCTTAACATTATGGATCTTATTTAGAGCTTTACTGTAATTAAGCATACGACCCAAAAGACTTAAAATTTTGAAAAGGAACAAATGATAAAAAAAAAATTGTGTTTAGGAAATTTAGTTCATCATAAACAAGCAGCGAAAGGATTGTCACTTCTTATTCACCCTATTCTTAAAATAGTCCACCAGATGCTTCTCGTCTTGTTTTTTCGACCCCGAAGCGTTTTGTTTTCGTAGTGCCTCCTTCATCAAAGCCGACAGCTTGTGATGACAAAACACGAGCCTAGAAAGACTAGAAGAAAATGAAACTGTGTCGCCACTTTACGACGCTGTGAAACAAGTTTAATTCTTAGTAAAGTTTCTTAATTTACAGATATTTTTTCCGAGATTTTCTGCATTTGTTTGCAAAGTATTATTAACCATTCATTAACAATAAGAGCAAACAACAGGAACTATGATGCATTTTAGAAAGATATCATAATATTTTATTTGCGTTATACCAAGCCGGCACAAATTTATCAGAATTTGTTGCAACAACAGTACTGTACCACGATTATTGATGTTGTTCTAAATAACATATTTATATTACCTTTCAGCGGCAACTTAATCTAAAGATATTTAACAAACTAAGCTAACAGGTAATTAAAGAAGCTCATCTATAACTATAACACTAATTTTTACTAATATATAACATTTTCATGATTAGACAGTGTATGCATATATATATCAGCAGATTTACTATAAAAATTATCGACTGGAAATTTTACCAAGTAGGTAAAAACTCGATTTAATTATGATATCAAACATCAATTATCACAAATTTCACCTGTGTTCCTCAGGTGAAATTATACCGTATTTTTGTTACTGATACGAACGTCCGTGAATTTGTAATAATAATGAAAGTAAATGCCGAACGTATCCTCTTTATAGCATCTTTAATCACTACTCCAGTTGTCTCACACTCAAAATGTATGCGGGCCGAAGGCACGATCTAAATCTAAAAGCCGTCGAACGGACAAAATAATTTTTTTATTCAAAATGAAAGATTCTATTATAAAAATAGAAATAAAAAAATTTGCTCCGTCGGTATTTATCAAAACATAAGTAAACAATAATCATGGTAACGCTAGCGAAAAAATTTATTTTCTACCTGGAATTTAGAATATAATACCTGCAAGACAATTTTGAGGATTACACATTATAATTCAAATACACTCATGTCCATAAATTAAGGATAACCGGAGTCACGCGGAAATCGAACTCTAAAATAAATATATCACCTGTAAAATCACTACACACATTTTCAATAATCATATGCAAATTTCAGGAAGTAACCAGATGACACCGATGGTACGTTACAATGACGAGAGTGTAAGAGAGTGATATATAAGGAATACAGGCAAAGAAGTAAAATTGTTCGCAGGCGCTTTATAAGCATTTCAGTGCAATAACCGAATAGTTATGACACAAAGGACGCATTTGGATGATTTTTTTACGTGGAAGAATTATCGGCCGTCTGGAATGTGGGCGTACCCAACTGGAAGTATCAGACGAACTTGGAATTGCCCAGAGTGTCATCTCCAGGCTTTGGCAACGATTAAAAGATGATGGTAATGTGAGTAGACGTTACAGCACAGGTCGCCCCAGAGTTACAACACCGAATGAGGACCGGTATTTGGCAGTTACTGCCAAACGAAACAGGCGGAGCACAGCCTCAGACCTATCTCGTCAACTCTCTTCAGCCACTGGTACGACAATTTCAGGCAGACCGTGTACAGACTCTTAGGGCAGATTGGTCTATATGCTCGTAGACCTGTCAGATGCGTTCCACTTACTGCAACTCCCTGTCGCCTGAGGTTAGCCTGGAGTAGAGAGCATGCATTGTGGACACCGCAACAGTGGGCTTGTGTGATGTTTTCCGACGAGTCCAGGTTTAGCTTGCAGTCTGATTCTCGCCGGACTTTCATATGGAGAGCTCCAGGTACCCGTTACTACCAAGAAAACATCATTGAACGACACCGTTACGGTGGTGCAGGAGTGCTCGTTTGGGGTGGAATTATTCTGGGTTCCAGAGCTGACCTGCATGTTCAAATTGGAACCATGACAAGCCAAATCTATCGGGACGTCATTCTGGAACAACATGTACATTTGTTTCGGGGCGCCATGGGCGCACAATTTGTGTTTAT